TAAGGTTAAGATTAAATAATCTGTTAATAAAAAAAACAATTAATGGAATTGTATAGTACTTGAAGTTAGCAGTATATGGAGAGCCAGTGCTGCTAAGCAAGTGAGAATGTCAATGTCTGGGTCAGCGAGGGTTAATGTGAAACTCATTTTGGCTCTAAATGCCAGATAATTGAACATCAATTGTGAACAAATGGAAAGGTCAAAAAAGGAAAAGAGAGCGCAAAATGATTTAAGATCGAAACTTTTAATGCTGTGGGTGGTTTAAAAACTCTCAATACAGCTAGTTGTTTTACTATTTAGTCTATACAGGTGTTTTAATTTAACGATGCCAGAATCAGTGTTAGAGCAAGAGACAGATAAACTTCACTTCACTCCCATCTCTGTTAAGACTTGTTATCCACTAGATACAGGAAGGACGTCTGAATCTTTGGTCAACTCCAGGCCAATAATAAAGAGAATAGTTGCCTACAACCAGTTGTGGATACCATTTCTAAGACCACCAAAATTTAACCTAGAAATGTCTGAAGGATAGCAATGATCTGGCTATAAAAGTTGACTAAACCCAAGGCCAGAAGTGAAAGATTCCCTCACAAATCCACTGCCACGGTGGAAAATTCATACCATTCATAAAACTATTTTCTAGCCCAGTGATTCCTTAAGTTGGGGATGGTCCTCCTATGGGGCACAGAGCTATTTCACATGGTCCCAGCAGGGTAAAGAAACGTCCTTTTCATATTTATCTTGCAATGCATGCAAATACGTTGGATACCAAAGAAACGTCCTTTTCATATTTATCTTATGCAAATACGTTGGATAAATCACTGTAAAAAAATGGGCCAAATATTGGGGTCGTTTCAGGACAGGCTCCTAAAACGTGTTTGGGCGACACGGTTGTTAGCTTCACAGTGGTCCGACCAGAAATAACACGGCGATAGTTGTTTAACTGTAATGTCTGGAATGATAATTGGGAAAAAAATAACACAACTTTTTATTAAACCGTTGCAGAGAGTGACTGCATATTTTAATGACACCATGGCATATTTGTTATGCAGCACTGAAGTGCCTATTGTCTGGGTTTAATTGTGTAAACTAAATAATCGCAATCATTGTTTTAAAGCTGCTGCATCCCCCAATAATTATTATGGAAATTAATAATAAAGACGGCCCATTGTTGAGTAGTGCACAATAAACAGCCCTGACTCTACAACACGTTTAAATTAAACAGTGATTTTGTTCCTTTCACAACCCAACCAGAGGTTGTTCCAGTCTAATTATGAGTCATACCACTTGTCATACACCCAGAGATTGGACATTTTTATAGCTGCATATAGGTTAGTCTGCATACAAATTTAATGGAGTCAGAGTTGGCCAGATGTTATTGGCACGAAAACATCTCGCGTGTCGTGTTGTGCTGCAGAGAGTGGAGACTGGACACAGACTGCCCTTTACACGTCTTCATATGCTCTTAAAATTCACATATAAGGCCATTTAATTTCACAATAAAAGACAGAATAATCAATTCTATTGTGAATGTAAGACTTCCATATAGGCAGCTGTATCTGTTGCAAGTTTTGTCTTTTATCTATGCAGAATAAGATATTTTATTATAAGTCAGTTAATCAGGATAATTCTTGTTTTTGTTTAATTGCAATTGGTTTGCTGTTGGCATGCAAGTTGGTTTTAAGGCGTTCATTTATCTTAAATTAAAAAAGTTTTAAAGTTGATTTGATAAAGATGGTAAAGTACCTGAATGGAAGCCACAAACTGTGACCCAATATGATGATGTCCACGTTCATGAAGGTGATCCTGTGAGTGTCATTGGACAGAAGGCAGAGTAACAAAAGCAAAAGAAAATATCTGTAGTTGGTTTCATACAGACTGGAAATATTTCCCAAATAGCAGAGCTCATCTGTCACTCATCCTTGTTTAAATTTCTGTTAGGTAACAGTCCTTTCTTGTGTTTGCTGATGTTTCTTTCACTCTCCCTTTTCCCCTTTTCTTTCCATTATCCTGTAACTTCTCCAGCCGAGGGATTTAAGAGGGATTATTCTGTGGGTTTCACCGGACAAGCCGTCAGTCCTGTCCCAGGCACATAGTCCATCTTTCAAATTGCTGGATTTTTTTTCTTCTTCTGCCAAACCATTCATTTGACATTTTCTACAGCTTAAATCCCTGACTTTACTATATTTTTAATGTTAACACTAAACCATCCACTGAACCGTAACATTCTTCCCCTACACCCTTTATCTGGAATTCTGTTGAAAACTCAACAAGATACTTCACAAACCTCAATATATACAAGGCTCTTTAGACATTAGTAAGGGACTTAAAATGTCAGGACTTCAACTTTTAATACGTCCAAAGATATACATGCAGGAAACGGAGGAAGTAATGGTTAGTTAAATATTAGCATCACATAGACAGAAAAAGAGAATAAGTGTAGGAACTGATCACAGAAGAAGTCAAATATCAGGATAAACACATTAGGGCTTAGATCTGATGAATCACTGGGCGACTGTGGATTAAACACCATGATTAGTCCAGATAAATAAACCTTCTTAATATGACAAAACTTTTTTTTCTTTTTAATTTAGGCTAAAGAAAATCTTCAAAACAAGAGAATGCAATAATTAAAAGCAATATCTCACTATTTTCTAATCAGATGTTTCTGATTATACACAAGCTTTGTTGCATATCTAATATGTTTATTTTCTAGACAAGGCATCCTTTTGTTTTATGGCCTCTGATGGATTGGACCACAGTGCTTGTTGTATTATCCTCTTAATTTTTATGTCAATATTTAACGTCTTTTATTATCATCCCTCCGAATATAAGAATTAAGCTGGCAATATTATGAACATAGACTCTTAATATTAAATCATAAAATTAATGAATCTACAGCATTAGACTTGCACCTAAACCCATACAAAGGGGAATCAACTTTTTTACGAGCCTTAATTAAAATGAAATTGAAAATCATAATTCAACATCTATATGCTATACTGCGTTAGCCCCAATCTGCAGTACAGTGCCTCTCTGGCTGTTTAATGTTAATGGTTAGCTGCATGTTTAACATTAATAGCCCACAGTGGGGAAAATGTATTGGTTTTTAATGCACTTGAGTCTTTCTTGTATTGGTTTTTAATGCACTTGAGTCTAGTCTCTGGGGTTTTTTTTATTTTACGTGGAATCTGTGTTCAAACCTGCAGAGTTGCCTGACTTTCCATGATTATGCGATTCCCTATACCTGACCACACACACAAACACACACACATACGTTCAGAGAGTGTGTGAATGGTCCTCAGGTTCCGGATTTCCATATAGATCAGAGGCAGGACAGCACATCAAATCAATCCATTAGGTCCCGGAGGTCCTTTAGTCAAATATCGATAGCACTTAGGTCAATATTACACCCCAACTGAGGGGTCAAAGGTGACGGAGACTCAGTGGGCAGT